CTATTGGACTTTTGAACGTGAGGAAGGATTTCAATGTAACATGTATCTCGGAAAGAAGTTATTACAAATATCTTGACACCATACTGCAATAAAATAATGGACATATCAGTCGACAATTGAATGTTTCTCTACGAACTGATGGACACCCACATAAAAGCAAAAGATTAAGCAAAAAAATAAAAACTAGCAAAAAGGGAGTGCCTCATACCGAATCTGCAGCAGCCTGCAATGTGACATGATCACCCCATTCACCATTCCTATTTCATCCATGTCAAGAAGAATTAGTAAATAAACGAGAAAAAGATGTAAGCTTTAGGATAGAAAATTATGGATAAAGAGATTAGCACACTACTTGCTCATCTTGTTTAGATAATCAACATAACCCATAAGAACGTAACCCTCGTACATTTCAGGGTGACTCATCAGCTGAGACATAAAAAAGATGAGTAAAAAGAGTTAAATTACAAAATATCATTTTCAAAACCTTCACAAGAATAACTTGAATTTAACTACTAAAGATCCACTTACTGAAATGCCAACCAACCTGTTGAATAATTTGGTCTCTTACAACACCATGGTATTCAGGAGAACGATATAGTTGATCTGATAAAGCACGAAACTGGGAAATAAAACAATAGTGAGACACTATCAACTTAACTCAGAAGAGGACTCTGGAATATTGCAAGTTAGATATGTGAAATTACAAGTATAAAGATATGTTACATATACATTTGAGCAGTGCATTTACAATCCAGAAAGAAAAAAGTATTGAAAGATAGCGGGAATGGGGAAAAAGTTGTTTCCATCTAGACTGCATCAGATTATTCATTGCGAATACACCGCTTGATGTACTTCAACAAAAATTGGATGCTCAGTAAATTTTTGTTTATCATTTTAAAATGAAAGAATAAAAATGATAGACCAATCATTTAAGTAAAATAATACCAACCTGACAGTTACCATCTCCCTGGACCTTACACTCCACCAAATCATACAACTGCAGCCTATTAAAGAAAAAGAAAAAAAATTAGACACCTGAAGTGAAACACCCAATACTATCGATCTATTAAAAAAAATCAGAGACAGAAATATAGGTTTGACAATATATCCCGGGATACAATTCATTACTCATAAATAAAGTATATAATACTTGGAACTAACATAAAATACCTATCCAAAAGCCTCTGATGATCTGATAACTGTTCATCCTCTGAGGGTAATTTTTCATTCGTTTTAGGAACATGCTGCCAAAAGAAAGATGATAATGTGAATCCCATTTTGCAATAAACATTAAACTAAAAATGTGTCTTGGCATGCAATAAAGTTTCCTAACAAAAAACAAATTGACAAATGGATACTGATATATTCCCACACCATCCCGAATATTAATACCAGGAGACCAATTTCTACCAATTTAAACAAATAAACTTTCAGTCTGTGATGAGTGGGGGGTGTAATCCCAGAAGAGAGTGGCTGGGTGAAGGGAGGGAATTGCGTTTTGGGGTTGTGGGTTGGGTGTTGGCAGGCTGTCTGGGTGCTGTTTGGAAAAGCGGGTGGGGCAGAATTTTGTCGGGGAATGCTCAATGCCAGAATTAACGGGGTGGCTGGTTGTTTGCTTGCTGTAGAGGTGACTGCGGCAGCGCGTGACATCGGGTAAAGAGAGACACAGAGGTTTCGTTTTTTTACTTCTGTAGTCTTAACTTTTATTTCTATTTAGTTTTTTTTGTTGTTTTAAAATTTTAACAATTTTAATTAAAAAAGTCCATGTGGTATCACATAATTTGCTTTATAGGCCACAAATAATTCATCTCAACATGCGAAGAACCATATTGATGAGTGTACAGTATACAAGTGATGAAATTGATGAGTTTTAAACATAAAAGATCATTTGTGATTAAAATTCGTTTCATAATTAATAGTAAAGAAGACTTCTTCCTTACAGAACAGATATTTTAAGAGACAATTTGGTACAGCTACTAAAATATTATATGTTTTATTACGAAAAAAACTGTGTTCAGATTCAGCCCTCCCCATTTCTGAATCCTGGCTTCATCCCTGGATAGATGACCAGCGGATGATATGCATAATCTTTTGATAATTAAATGGCAGCAGCAAGACGCCATAAAAGCTAGACTTACAGGTACAGAAGCCATCTGATTCAATCTTCTCCCTACTTCACCATCAAGAGAAAATTCATCTGTTATGTCCAGTGAATGCAAAAAGTCTTCCCCATTAATAGAGTATTCTCCTTCGCAGTGATCAGTTGCTACCTCATTTCCATTTCTCCTTGGATCATCCACCCCATGTTGATTATGTCTATATTCATCGGTGTCAATATTTCTGCCGAAATCATTTACTGCATCCTGAACATTTTCAAGCCCTACAGATTTCCAACATTTCATCTTAACAAGGAGAACAAATACACAAAATCAAATCAGAGAACTTAACGAGAATGTCAATTTGCATAATCCCATACCAGAACCACTGTGCCTAGTTGATGGACCAAGCCAATCCTGCTCAAGAATTGACGCTTCCAACTGCCCATCTCCATAACCAGAAGCTCCAGATGTTTCTACAGAAGCGAACCTCGACAACTCTTCTTGATAAGCATGAGCTATAATCTCATCATTCTCCACAATACAAGGCTCAACATAACCTTCTCTAACATACTCTACTTGACTAAAATCCTGGTCGTATCGCGTAACAGTACTATGAGAATTATCATTCGACAATGTGCAAACATCCAAGAGATGGAGACCCCAGCGAAGCACGTCGGGATCAAGGTTATATGTCTTCATCTGCTCGTTTAACATCTATCTAGCAACACTACCTCTGCTCCTGAAGTACCTAGCATCCCCGTTAAATTTCAATAACCGAAAAAAACTCGAAAAGGGCATAATCATAACAATAGAAACTACATTATTTGCAATCTATTAAACTAAGTTCACGGTCATATAATCGGTTTCCTCAAATTCTATCTATAATTTCAATAAAAAATCCGAACTTTAAACTAACCCAACAGTAAAATCCAAAAAAAGAAACAAATATATTGCACATAAAGTTCAAAAAACTTTAAATTTCACAGAGCAGAACATGAATCACAAAACCCTAATCCTAAAAATTCCAATAAAATTCAGAAACGCTTCAAACTTTGAATTTAAAACCTACCCAGCAAAATTAAAAGAAAAAAAACCAACCCTTGAAGCCAAATTACGGGGGCCGGAAGAATCTTGAGAGCCAAACGGAAGGGGTCGCGAATGCACGCGCCACCTGGGGGAGGAAGATAAGAAAGTGGTTGTTGAAACTGGAAACCGCCGTTGGATTTGGCGTGTTTTGTAGAAATCGAAAAATCCCGTTGGGGTTATATAAGGCTCGCTTTTCGCAGAGGGAACCTGAAACAAAGGGAAACAAACCGCCCCCACGATGATTTGGCACGCGGAGCACTGGTCACCGGGATCTGCCGGTTTCCCGGTGATTGTGCCACGTGTTGGCTTGTTAAGGCTGGTTTGGGATATAGAGAATCATAGTTGGATGTGTCACATGATAAATGTTTAATTGTAACGAAAACACAAGTGGTACATTAAGGGTTTTAATAGAAGTTGTGGAAAATTTTATTTTTTAAGTTATTAACTTTTTAGCACACATATCTCACCATTTGTATAGTAACAAGTGGTGTACCACCCTGTGTATCGGTCACATTGAAAAATTTGTCGTGTCACAAGATAGGCCCATGGGCCTAGTAGTAGGAGATGAGAATACCAATAGGATCCTCTCCGGATTCTTTTGATGAGGATCTTAGGGATTTGTGAATAGTGTATGTTCGTACATCGTGCGATCAGTTTTTATCAAATACTGTTTATGTTTATTTTTGAATAAAAATATTTAAAATAATTTCTGACCGCACGATATACGATAAACGGACACGATTTATGAATTTCCGAATTGCTCACGAGAATGGATTCGGACTCATGAGAACATATTGGGACAAATGTAGTGAAAATCTTTTACCCTTTTAACAATCAACCTGAAAATCGAAAATTTAGGGTATCAAGGGGATAATATTTGCTTGAGGATTTCACATTCCTTATTTGGTGACATAAATTAATGGTAATACAACGCATGCTTTGTTGTTTTAAATTCTCGTACCGACTTAAAGACGTTAAATAACGCGTTAACATGGATTTTTAAAAACCGATACAACATTTGTTGCAAATTCTACAATGATTACTACAAGGCATGTTGAAGAAATGATTAGTTACATCATTATTTTGATGATTGATTTTCTTTTGCGTGATCAGTTATTTATATTGTAACATGTGTGCAATTATTAACATTTGATGTGGTGTACCGCTTGTACTCCTTCTCCCATTAGAGTTTGTTCTTTTGACATAACATTCTTAAACCCGCCTCTTGATCCTGAAGCGATTAGAAAGCGAACTAGGATCTACAAGATATGACTTTGACTGCCTTTGAATCTTGGTTCATGTGTGTATCTATTGAATTTTGTGAATGGTATATTCATCATAAGACAATCAGGTACAAGAGATAGCAAATATGTATGTGCTAGAAGGAAGAAAACAAGACTACCTATCCCTCATTGATTTACATCTAAAGCTAACAAATAAGACACATCCATTGAATTAAGGGAATTGACAACAAGACAAATAAGACACATCCCTTGAATTAAGGGAATTGACAACAAGAAACACATCCCTTGAATTAAGGGAATTGACAACACTATCTATCACCCTAAAATCCTTTGTACGGTGAACATGCAACCTAACCTAACCCTAGTTGCCATTCTTTCTTCCAATACTCCCCCTCAAGCTGGATCAAAGGGATTAATTGATCCAAGCTTGAACAAAAGACGCTGAAAATTAGCAGAGGTTAATCCTTTTGTGAAAATATCCGCAAGTTGATCATGACTGTGCGTGTAGTGAGTATCGATCACCTTGGACTGAACTTGATTTCTGACGTAGTGACAATCAACTTCAATATGTTTAGTTCGCATGGAATACACGATTCGATGCAATGTGCATCGCGGCCTGATTATCATAGTGTAGGGACATGGGTTGTTGATGAGGAAAACCTAAAGCCAACAGAAGGCTTTTGAGCCAAATAAGTTCACAAGCAGTCGACGCCATAGCACGATACTCTGCCTCTGCACTAGAGCGTGCAACAACACTTTGTTTCTTGCTTTTCCAGGTAACTAGGTTGCCTCCCACAAACGTACAAAACCCAGTGGTAGACTTGCGATCGAGAGAATTGCCTGCCCAGTCAGCATCGGTATAGCCTGAGATCTGAGTGTGACTATTGTTGCGCATAAGAATTCCTCTACCAATGGAACCCTTAAGATAACGTAGCACACGATGAACAATCTTCAAATGATCCATGCTTGGAGAGTGCATAAACTGGCTAACAATGCTGACGGCATATGATATATCAGGACGTGTGATAGTCAGATAAATGAGTTTGCCAACCATTCTTTGATAGTAACTTAAATTGGGAACTGGATCACCATGAGTTTTTAGCTTCAAGTTGCTATCCAAGGGGATACGAGCAGGCTTGCAATCTGTCATTTTTGCTTCGTGAAGAAGATCCATGACATACTTGCGTTGGTTGAGGAAGAAACCCTTGTGAGAGTGTGCCATCTCGATGCCCAGAAAGTATTTGAGAGTGCCAAGATCCTTGATAGCAAACTTGTTGTTGAGATACTGTTTAAGAGCATTAATCTCTGACATATTATCACCTGTCACAATTAGATCATCAACATAAATGAGCATAACTAGTTTACCCACTGAGCTGGAACGAACAAATAGGGAAGAATCCGCAATACTTCGACAAAAACCAACCCTTTCCAGAATATGATTGAGCTTGGCATACCATGCATGTGGACTTTGCTTGAGACCATAAATGGATTTATGGAGTTTGCATACCATTTCTGGATTGTTTGAAAGATGATGACCTAGGGGTAACTTCATGCATTGTTAATTGCAACCGACAACAGTACTCTAACAATGTTCATTTTTGCCACCGGAGCAAATGTCTCTTTATAATCGACGCCATAGGTTTGTGTAAAACCTCGAGCAACCAAGCGAGCCTTATTCCTTTCGATTGTGCCATCTGAATGAAACTTAGTTTTGTACACCCAACGACTCCCCACTGCCTTCTTTCCTTTTGGAAGTTTCACTATAGACCATGTGTTATTTTCATGGAGGGCTTGAAGCTCCTCTGCCATAGCATCTCCACTCACTGTGAAGATTGGCTTCTTGAAAACTTTGAGGTTCTCGAGCTTCATTAATGGCACTTAGGAATGTAGCAAAAGAAGATGAGACTTTGCTATAGTCAATAACATCAGTCACGAGATACCTGGCAGTGTAGGTCACATAATCATGCAACTTGGATGGAAGTTTCCTCTCTTATGCAGGATTGCGACGAACTGTAGGAGATTGAACTACAGGTATTTGAACAACATCATGGTTGGAATGATCACTGAAGGGTGCAGTGTGAATCTCCGATGAGGAAGGGGTTTCATCTTTAAGATGTTCCACCGAGTGAAGATTAACATCATCCGACACATAATCACTAGGAGTGCATGTTGCATCTTCTCCGTTTGGATATGGAAAAGGAAATAAGTCCATCAAATGCTCCCCCTGTCTAGAGTAATCTAGTGATTGTGAGAAGTAAGGAACATGTTCTTCAAATTTAACATCCCTTGAAACAACCATTTTTCTAGTTGTTGAATTATAGCACTTGTAACCTTTTTGGGTAGATGAATAACCTAGAAAGACACATTTGGCAGCCCTTGGGTCTAGCTTGTCATGATTTTGAGCTTGAATGTGAACAAAGCGTAAAGACTCTCAAATGGGAAAAGTTAATCTTTCTATTTTTCAAGACCTCATAAGGTGATTTAAAATTCAACACTTTACTAGGCAATCTATTGATGAGATATGCCGCAGTAAGAACTCCTTGAGACCAAAACTTCTTAGGCACATTCATGTGAAACATAAGAGCTCTAGTCTTCTCAAGTAGATCTCTATTCTAGTCTTCTCAAGTAGATCTCTATTCTTCCTCTCGGCCACCCCATTTTGTTGAGGTGTTCCAACACAGCTTGTTTGGTGTAATATACCATGCGTGCTCAAGTAGTGTGACATGTTATGAGACATATATTTTGTGCCGTTATCTGATCGTAAAATATGAATTTTTGAAGCAAATTGGGTGGCCACAAGTCTATGAATATCTTGAAAAACTTCCATCACTTCACTTTTAAATTTCAAAAGATACAACCAAGTAATCCTTGTGAAATCATCCACAAAAGTTACAAAATATTTGTATCCATCAAAAGACTCTAGAATTGGTCCCCAAACATCGGAATGCATGATTTCAAAAGGCTTACTAGCCCTAGACAAAGAGGAAGTAAATGGTAATCTAGTAAACTTAGAAAAATGACAAACATCACAAGGACTTGTAACTTTGCACATGTTTGGGAACAAGGTGGATAGAACTTTTTCAGAAGGATGTGCTAGACGTTGCTGCCAAAGTTGTTGTTCTTGAGCTAAGCTTGAAGTGACTTGAAAAACCTTGGGAACTTGAATATGCTTGGAAAGATAGTCGAGACCATTTAAGAAAAATCCTTCACCAATCGTCTTCTTGGTGACTACATCCTGAAAGATCACATTTTTGGGAGAGAAAATGGCAAGACAATTTAATGAGTTTGTGATCTTGCCAACAGATAAAAGTTGAAAAGGGAATGAGGGAACATAAAGAGCCTCAGACTCGACATCACTTGAGATCAAATGTATTTTTGCCTTTTCCCACAACCATAGCATTTTTTCCATTGGCAACTAACACTTAAGATGGAATAGAAAATTTTTCAAATTTATGCAAGTTTGTAGACTTGTTAGTCATATGATCAATGGCTCCAGAATCTATAATCCAATAATCATGCACATTACCAATGTTGAAAGCAGTTGAGAATGAGTGTAAGATACCTGGGATGTCCTTTTGTACCACGCCTTCATTTCCAGCCAGGAAGCCAGCAAACAGTCCTAGTAGTGCAGTTTGATTGTTGTCACACTGATTTAGTGGTCCTTCACTATCTCTAAGACCTTGTTTCTTATGAAGAAACATAGCAAACTTGTTGATTAGTGCAGCTGGATTAGTGGTGAACTTCAGTGCTCCCTCAGAAGAAGTTGTGGCAACATGATTTGCCTTGTAAGAAGGGTCGTACGAGCCTTTCGAGACACTTTTGTTATCCCTAAGAAACTTTGGTTTTAACTATGGATGAAGAATCCATCATCAGTCTCTTGAGTGCCCACCAGCATCACAATGGCTACATTTTAAGCCAGTTTTCTTTCCTTTGTAGCCTCTCTCCTCACCAAGTTTTTGGTTAGAGAAGTAAGCCCTAGCTTATGGTATATTTGCTTTTATGTCCAAGGTCATAACTTTCCTTCGAACCTCTTCTCTTTGAATTATGGCACACATACTTGAAAAAGAAGGCAGGTCGGGATTCATAAGGATATGGCTTCGAAGATCTTCGAATTCAGGGCTCAGGCTTGCTAGGAGTTAGAATATTTTGTCTTCCTCGGCTCTCTTAGTTAGCACAGCAGCGTCGATGGTGTATGGTCGATACACATTTAGCTCGTTCCACATAGTGGTCAACTTTCCAAGATGTTGCACAAATGGCTTCCCTTCCTGTTGCAAACTAGCAATGTCCTTCTTTAACTGAAACACACGAGCCGCATTGTTCTGATTTCCATACATTTCCTTGAGATTTTTCCAAAGAGTCATGGAGGATTCAGCATAGCTAAAAATTTCTGCAATCTTACGATCCATGGAATTGAGTAGCCATGACATGACCAACTGGTCTTTGCATAGCCAAGCATCATACTCCGGTGAGGTAGTCTCAGGCATTGGAATAACACCATTAACATAGCCAAGCTTTGATCGTCCTCCCAAAGCAAGAGAAACTGCTCTCTCCCATGGAAGATAGTTAAACTCATTTAGCAAGACAGAACTAAGACGTTGATTTGGGTTGATATCAATATCTGAGTGTGGTGATGGTGGAGTAGCATGAAAGCCGTCTCCTTCCAAATTTACTGAGCTTTCTTCAGCCATGACTGAAGGACAAGAAGAAGCTCACAAATCTCTCAAGAGAACACCACAGAGACAGGCCGATTAGGGTCACTGCTCTGATACCATATTGAATTTTGTGAATGGTATATTCATCATAAGACAATCAGGTACAAGAGATAGCAAATACATATGTGCTAGAGGGAAGAAAACAAGACTACCTATCCCTCCTTGAGTTACGTCTAAAGCTAACAAAAAAAGAAAAAATAAGACACATTCCTTGAATTAAGGGAATTGACAACAAGACAAATAAGACACATCCCTTAAATTAAGGAAATTGACAACAAGAGACACATTCCTTGAATTAAGGGAATTAACAACACTATCTATCACCCTAAAATCCTTTGTACGGTGAACATGCAACCTAACCTAACCCTAGTTGCCATGCTTTCTTCCAATAGTATCCTAGTCTTATCTCAAAATCCAGCCTAAAAAAAAACTATAGGTTTTCTCTTCATTTGTTTGTAAGAGGCCATTATAGCCATTAATTATACATGCTAGAAGGCGATCAGATACCCATTAAGACACTTCTCAAAAATTGAGAAAATATTCAATTCCGATCCTGGGTAGGATTTTCCATCCGCTAGACATACCACATAAGCCAACAGTAGTATGAATGGAACAGGAACCCCTCGACCTGGTGAAGTTGCATATCTGCTAACGTTACAGGTGAAACTACCCTAAATTTTCCCTTTAAAGTTCAGATTTTTTTATTTAATACCCTAAATTTAGGGTATTAAACGGCATGGAAACCATGGGAAGATTTACCCAAGAAGTAGTGTATTCCCATTTGCTAGCAACAAGAAGAGAGATAGAGATTTGGTGCTTATAATAAGAGAAATAAATCAGGTGGACTCATAAAATTTCTCATGAGTCTGACTTGTAAGATATATTCTGAAATCATAAGAGCAACAACAAGACATTCGGATCACGAATACAATAACGAAATCGACATGAAAGGGAAATAAACTTATCTGTAGAATTCGAAGATATGGTTATGAAGATGAAGTCATTGATGAACTCTAGGTTGTCTTCTCCTTCCAATACTCCAAAATATCCCACTACTATATGAATATGTTTTTAGTATTCTGAGGAATTCAACATATGGAAGCAGGGACTTAACCTAGTATTTATCTACCATTAGGGTTCCTTATTAGCCGACATGTTAACAGCTAAGAAGGTCAACCCGATCACCTTGATTGAGTCCTATCATGATCCAATATCTTTGTATTTGAACCTCTAGATGATTCTCCTAGATTAGCTGCAATGATTTAAGACTCCACAATTCTTACCTAACTAGGACTCTTAATTTACTCGAATTGCACATCACTGAATAATCAAGTGATTTGTTCCTCAAGTAAACCAATTGTCACACATTGCCATTCATAGAACTTTACATGACTAAGTACAAAATGTCTTTCAATTTAATTTGAGGAACCTCTATGTTTTCGTTGAGATGCTTTATTTGAGGATTGTAAACCTGATAACATTTGGTTGGATTATCTTGACTCGCGTTCATAGGGAACGAGTGTGGGGGTTACTTCCGTGGCCCGACCCCTTTCAATTGCTCTAAGCGGGGAGAAGGGTACCTTAGAGTTTACCAACTTACAACTCACTCAAAAGAAAATATATGCATGCACGAACAAATTGCATCATTCTATAAGCATACTATACTTGTTGGAAGCTCACCATATATATGTCATCGACTGAGACATTTTCATCGAAGCGTTGTTCTCCTGGAGGCGCTTAGTTTCATTTTCATTGAAGCGTTATTCTTCCGATGGCGCCAAGCGCCTCCAGGAGGTCA